CTTGTACCTGAGTGTGGAGCCTCCTTTACACCGGAAAACACAAGTAGCAAGGATGGCTGGCGGGGGCCCAGGGACTAGAGCCCTCACACCCTGCTGGTGGGACTGTAAGACGTGCAACCGCTGTGGAGAGCCGATGGCTCCTCTTCAAAAAGCAGGGCATAGAAATACCGCGTGACCCAACTGTCCCTCTACACGTATGCACCCCAGGCACTCACTCACACGCCCTCAGGCTGAGTGAGATCAGTCCATCGCAAAAGGGCCAGCAGTGTGTGTCCTTCCTGTTTTACAAAGTCAAGGATAGGCCTTCCCACGAAGCGCAGCCCTCTGATGTCAGGGCCAGAGGTGAGCAGGTGTGAACCTGGGAGGCTGGGGAGCCACGGAGGCAGAGAAGACACTGTGAGGTTTACGTGGCCAGCCCCGCAGCAGTGGTGGTCAGCCCCGCAGCAGTGGTGCTCAGAGGGTGCGTGCTCAGATCGCCTGCCTATCAAGCTTGCCTCCAACTGCCCTTTTTAAAGACAACTGGGACTTCGCTCCCTCCCATCTGTCATCTCCAGCTCTGCAAACCGTGGGATTACCCAACGGAAAATGTCCAGGAACGCCTAGGCTACCCAACTTGATGCATTTCCTCTCTGGTGACTTCTAATGTTCCTCTGTTCTGCCTGCGGGATTACTTCATCCTGTGTTCGCATTACAAAGGGCGTCCTCTTGTTGTGGTGCCAACAAGCAAATCAAGGCTCACAGCTTTCTCCACCTGCACCCAATGCTTGAGGGAGGAGCAGCAGCCAGGGAGGAAGAACGCACAGAAAGCTTGCCCAAGGCGGGCGCCCGCCCGAGACCCACAGCTCCAATGGAAGGGGTCTCCGACCAGCTGCCAGGCTGCCAGTCACCAGTGGTCTTGCCCAGAAGGCAGGGACTTGGGCGCAGCCCAAGGCTTTGTGTGACCTTCACAATAGGGATTGTCCCAAGGGCAGGCAAACAAAGGGGAGGTTGGAATCCACTGATTCAGATTGAGATGGACCATGACTTTTTTTGGAATAAGGTACAAAGCAATGTTTTGCCTGCCAAGTTCCTCAGACAGATTGTATATGAGGGGGTAAACAACCCCCCCAAAAAAATCCCAGAAATCCACTGGTCAGAGGGAAGCGCTCATAGTACGCATATTTCCCACTATGCAAATATATAGCAACTCGCTCTGAATTAGTGCACCCAGTGGCACCCCTTGGGAAGGTTCTCTCTGGTCACAGTGAATTTTTTCGTAAGAGCAATTTCACTAGAACCCTATTTATTGTGATGGCTGCTTTCAGAGAACAGCATGCAGCTATGAAATTTTGTTTCCTACTCCCCCGAATGCCCCAGAAACTGTTGTGATGTTGAACACAGCTTACAAGAACAGTGTTCATGGAAAAACGCAAGTGTAGGACTGGTCTTCTCATCTCAACATTGGTGAAATGTCGATTGATGACACACCTCGTGCTGGACGTCCATCAACTTCCCGAATGGTTGAAAATGTCCACTCAGAGTGCATTTGGAGTTCATTCCACAAGGTCACACTGTTCATCAAGCTTTCTATTTAGAGGTTCTGAAAAGATAGCATAATAGTGTGCAACAAAAGAGGCCTGATTTGTGGCAGATGGGAACTGATTTTGCCATCACCACCACCACAATGCGCCTGCTCGATATAGCCATCTCCTTGTGCCAGTTTGGGGCAAAAAGCAGCAAGCCTCTCTTGCCCCATGCACCTTTCTCACGTGGCCTCTCTCTATGCAGATTATTTTTGTTTCCGTGAATGCAGAGGGACAGGAAAGGACAGTGATTTGACGACGTAGAAGAGGTGAAGGGAAACCGAGGGAGGTGCTGCCAGCCATCCAGACAGATGAGTTTGGAAAATGTTTCCAAGAATGGAATCGCACATTTGACAAAGGTATTAATGGTCATGGAGAGTACTTTTGAAGGTAGTAGGTTGTTTTGTTGAAATAAATAAATACATAACTTCAGGGGGAAATTCCGGGGGTTTTGGTGGCTGGGTACCCCCTCATATAAGCTTTGCAATGAAGTAGCTCTGGGCTGATCTTGATCAGAGCTCCCAATCAATCCCATCTTGGCTCTCTTCCTCTTTCTTACATCCCTGCCCGCACTTGCGGGCTTTCTCTGTGTTGCTGTGCAGCGCTGGGCAGGCAGGCAAGCAGCCTGCGGACAGGGCCTGTCTGAGCAGACGCCTCTCGCAGAGGCAGAGGGATGTGGGTGGAGCAGAGCGTCTTAGAGACGCTCAGCAGGGCCGTGAGTAAGAAAATGCCATCACTGGAGTGGCATGGTGAGAATGACAGGCAGTCACAAGCACAGGACGGCCCTTGCCTGGAGGCCTTCCACGGACCGTCGGACTCTGCCGCCTGGCACGGCACTGCGCCAAGTGTCTTTTCCATTCCTCCAGCAGTGGCCAGTCAGGATGCGTGTCAGTCCCGGTAGACCAGGGAGCCGACTCCAGAGACACTCATGTGCGTGTAAGGAGAACTTTATATCAAGAGTCATTGTACAGTAAGAAACATCCAGATCAAGTCCGATATTAGCCTATATGTCCGATACCAGTCTATGAAGTCCTCTTCAGACCCACGAAACACATGCAATGATGCCGAGTGCAGGAAGATCACAGGCCAGTGGGTGGAAAGTCTTGTGGGTCCAGTGGCGGTAGAAGCATGTCAGCGCTGGCGTGGGTCTACACGTGGCTCCTCCAGCTCCAGGGCTCTGGCTCCATCGGTGTCTTGTCAGCAGGAATGTCTCCCAGGGAGTGAGTCTGTAGCTGGCTTCCGGGGAGCTAGTTATCTCCCCAGCACCTCCAAATGAGATCATCAGGCTGTGACTTGATTGGCAGGCTAGACTCCACCCCTTCTCAAGTTGACTGGGTGCGGTCCATCATTTGCTGCCCTGCAGAGTGCTTTGAAGGACGCAGGTGTGGTCCCTCTCTGCCCCCACCTCATTTCTCGAGGGTGTGTCTGTGAGGCCCTGCAATGGTTTGCGCCAGTTCCTGCTTCTCGCAGGTGACAGATTCGCACCGCAGACGCACGGTGTTTGTAAACCAAGTAACTTTTAGGAGGGAAAGGGACGTTTCGGGATATTCGGTCTCAGCCAGTACACACAGCTGTCCCTGGGAAGCATACAAGGCCGCATGGCAGGGGGTCTTGGGAAAGTTCGTGACCGAAAATGGCTGCTTCAGGGGAGAACCCTCACCCCCGGCCTGCCCTGGGTCTGCTGCTTGTCCCCTCTGTTCCCCACTTGGGCGAAGGGAGGTTGTGGTGGAGGCCACTGGCCGTTCTCAGTGGCTGAGTCCAGGCACGTGTGTGACGGAATGGGGTGTGTGCCTGGGGTGACCTGACCCTGCGCCTGCACCTGGGTGCCTCTGGTCTGAGCACACCCAGCTCTGGGTCTTCCCCGGGGTGTCTGACGTGCGCCTGACTTCCCGCAAACCGCTGTATGGTGTCTTGTCCATCCAGATTTTGTTTAGCTTGGGAACCGGGTGGAGACCGCCTCCTCCCTCCCTACTCTTCCTGCTTCTCTTCGTTTACAAGGAGAGGGAAGCCGCGTCACAGGCATTTCTAGTCCCTGCTTTGGGGTGAAGAGCCACCGGCTTTCCACAGTGGTTGCACATCTTACCACGTCTCACCAGCAGGGTGTGGGGCCTCCAGTCTCGGCACACACCCCAGCCATTCTTGGGGAGAAACAGGGACCCCCACACTTGCCATCAGGAATGGAAAATGGCTCAGTGCTTTGCTTGGGCCAACGACGTGGAGAGCTGCTGAGCAGGTGGAGACCCTGGCCCTGGGTACCCGTGAACGTGACCCTGTTTTTCTTTTTCATTGTGTTGTGAGAGTATACTAGAGTGGGGTCCCACCCCTAAGCACCCGAGTTGTAAAAGGACCGGAAGAGGCGCAGAGAGCACACCCCAGGGCTATACCCCACAGGAAGACAGGTGCCGGCTGCTACAGAAGCTTCCATGGCCCAGGAACACCGAGGGTTGCCGCCTTCAAGAAGCTGGAACCAACGCGGAGAGAGGCGGACTTTCCCCAGAGCCGGGCCCTGACGGGGCCTTGCAGACCCAGAAGGGAGAGGAGAGACACACTAGACAGAGAACCAAGAACCGTCAACACCGCCGTACCGCTCCCCCTCCAGCTCCTCCCCGGGACAAGTACCCACGGGGACAAAAACAAATGTCCCAAGATGTGCACACACGTGTTTTTATACCATGACTCATGAAACCCAAACCTGTAAACTGCCCAGCTGCCCCTCACCTGTGCACAGGCAGACCCACGAGATGCACCTGGCCCATGAACGGGAACGTTTTAAAAAGAGCCAACTACTGGGAGACGCGTGGGCCAGCCTCTGAAGCCTGGTGCTGACTGAAAATGCCAGACCTAGGAGAGCTTGGACCCCACCCCACCTCACCCCAAGCCCCAACGGCTGCCGTGCCCTCTGCCTGGCTGTGGGCTTCCTTTTGCCCCATCTCAGTAGCGGTCTGGGACGCTGACACCTTTAAGCTTGATCGGCTCAAGCGCGCCCCAGAAATGAGTCCTTTCTCTCAGGACACGTGCATCCCTAAAACTTAAATCTACATGCGTGAATTTGCTCGTGTGCCTGGGGTGGAGGGGGTGAAGGAGTCAGCCTGCTGTCAATCAAAAGACTAGACAGACATCATGATTTATGATTTCATTTGTTCACAATCCAACATGTAACAGGAAAAGACAATCCCTTTAAGCGGAGTCCTGTTAGAGCTGTGAGTCCGGAGGACGGCAGTGAGCCACGGGTGTCGGCGGCTCTCCACGGACATCAGCAAGGGGGCAGGAGGTGGCGGGCGGTCCCTGGAGAAACAGAGGCATGCTTGATTTCCTACTGATGGTTGCAAAGCCAGCCTCTTGGCCACATTGTTGGGAAGATCACGGTGCCCTGAGATCATGGCAAAGCCTGCTGTTCCCTCCCGGGCAGCCGTGTAAAGCCTGCACAGTGTGGGGCCCAGAACTTGCTTGGTTTGTGCTGGGTTTTCCATGCAGTTTGGAGGTAGCAAACGCCACTGCCGTCTGTCTCTGTCTTTGGCAGGAACAGTGACAGGTGACCCTGGAATAGCTGGAACAGAATACCCTCAGGGTGCCTCCACCCCCTCACCCAGCCACATTTGCAACAAGAAACTGCAGGTAAGGGGGTGCTGGTGCCGGTGCGGATGGGGGGGGGGGGTGCGGGGCAGATGCTGAGCAGCCTCTTCTCATCCATATCCCCGCCTCCGCCTCCCTGGCACGCTGGGCTGCCTGGAAAGGAAAGAGGAGGAGGAGTCAGGCCCCCGGCCGCCCCCCCCCCACTTCCCGTCTCCTCCCCTCGGAGCCCGGGGTGGGTGCAACAGGACAACGGCCCCTCAGAAAGGGGCGGAGTCTGAGCGTCCCTGTGGCTCCGAGGGTGGGCGGGCCTTGGGGGCAGGTAAATACCCTGGACCCCACTCCGCGCAGCTCCTCGTGCGACCACGGAGGCATCTGTCCCAGAGCCAAGCAGCTGGTGAGCCGAGCTGGGGCTGGGGGACGGCGGCCGACGCCTGCTGGTGCCCCCCCCAGGTGTGGGGGAGGAGGGAGAGCCCAGGGGCGACTGGAGGCAGGGCCTCTTGAGTGTTTGGGTGGGGCTCCGCCTGATTGGGGTGGGTGCGTATCACCCTGCAGGAGCCACGGACCTAGACCCACCACCTAGACCCACCGTCGTCATGAGAGGCGCCGCTCTGCTCTTGATCGCGGCTCTAATACACTGCCAGCAGCATGGTGAGGGGGGCACTGCCAGCAGTGTGGTGAGGGAGTGGCTCTGCCAGCAGGGTGGTGAGGGAGGGGCAATGCCAGCAGGGTGGTGAGGGAGGGGCACTGCCAGCAGCATGGGGGGCACTGCCAGCAGCATGGTGAGGAGGCACGGCCAGCAGGGTCCAGGGCGCCCCCGGTTGCTGTTGCGGTGGTCTGAGGACCCGGGCCTCCCAGCCCTGGCCCTGCAGTGCTACACCTGCATCCATGTAAAGGACAG